TTTAAATAATTATTTTGATTTTGTTTCTTTTTTTCATTCAATAGTTATTAATGTTTCTGTGTCATTTTTCAAGTGTAAAATGTCCAAATTACTGTAACAAGCTGCTTAAGTGTGTTCAGAGCGCTGTTGTGGTTAATGTTACTTTTTTATTAATTAGAGATTATATAGAGATTGCTGTATAGGATTTCCATTTGTACATAAGGTACACATCCTTGAAAGTTAGTAAGATTCTACTTTGAAGTGTAAAAATGTCTTCAGTAAGATCTTAGATTTCTGCCTTCTGAGACATCAAGCGCCCCCTTGAGGAAGACAGCTTTTTATTACAGTTATTATCTTGGTAAAACAGTGCTTCAGTCTTCATCACTGTTCTGCATCAAATCATTTGGTGTGGTTTCACTGAAGTAATGTATTTTAAAATGCCTAGAAGGATCATGTCATGTTCTTCTCAGCCCTAGTCCTGGTGGTGACCACTGCAGGAGAGTTTGTGGATGTGACTGTGCCCAGCGAGTGAGAAGAGCAGAACTGCGTCTTCTCGCTCTTCAGTTTGTCATGTGTCAGCAGCACTGCTGGAGACGATACTTCACCTCCCCACTGGGTGAAAGTGCTCTTTGGGGGTAAGAGATGGCTCACAGAAGGATTTGTATTATGACAATTCAATACTTTTCTATTAAGGTATTCTATCCTAACCTTTGAGGTCAGCTATTTTTTGTATGTTCCTTAGGACCGAGGGCCTGCCAGACTGCATAACGGAAACACTGAATACACTACAGAAAGATTACCATGAGATGAGGAAACAGATTCTAGCAGGCACTCCTCTGGATAACCTTAAGCCCCTGTCAGTAGACTCTGAAAAGATAACTACAAGGTCAAACTACAGCCCAGCATCGGTATGACAAATTCTGGAATTGTTAAAAATTTGGAAATGTATCATACCTGATACACATATACAGTGGGTACGGAAAGTATTCAGACCCCCTTAAATTTTTCACTCTTTGTTATATTGCAGCCATTTGCTAATTCAGGTGCTTGAGGCCCATTTAAACTCATTTGACTGTCCGGGAAGGTAGGTGGTCATGATTTTTCAAATAAATATCCTTGAAAGTAACCTTTTCACAGACATTGTAAATCCCTGATATGAGTTACAGTGGTGGCCAGAATTATTATAACACTATTATTTACACCAGCTAAAAAATGGTTTTAAGTCAGTTATTTCTATCTTTTGCTGTAGTGCGTCAGTAGGAAATATCAGTTTAGATTTCCAAACATTCATTTTGCCATTAATTGTAATAATCCAGAGAGATTTTTGACAACAGCCAGTGCTCCACACAGAGATCTGATCTCTTCATGAAGAAACAGAACAAACTGAGACAGACTAAATCCAGAAGAACTGTGGCAATGTCTCCAAGATGCTTCAAGAAACCTACATTTTAGCTGGTGAAAATACTAGTGTTCTAATAATTTTGACCACCACTGTATTGTTGGAGATGTCAAAGAAATCATAATTGGAAACCTTGAACATTGTGCTGCCACATTGCACTTGACAGCCAGGACACTAGAGGGTGACAGTGGTTCAGTCAAATCAAAACCTCCTGGAAATATCTGCAAACAAGTATAAATATTATTATAATGTTTTGTAAATTGCTACTTTTTTTTCTGCAAGGATGCATTAAATTAATTAAAAGTGTCAGTAATGACATTTAGAATCAAAAGATTGCTATAAATGCTGTTCTTTTGAACTGTCTATTCATCAAAGAATGCTGATAAAATGGTTTTCAACACTGATAAGAAATGTTTCTCCAGCACAAAATCAGCATATTAGTATGATTTCTAAAGGATCATGTGACACTGAGGACTGGAGTAATGATGCTGAAAATTCAGCTTTGCATCACAGGAATAAATTACATTTTAAAATATATTCAAATAGAAAACAGCTGGTTTAAATTTAAGTTTTATTGTATATTTTGTTCAAATAAATGCAGCTTTGGTGAGCATAAGACACTTCTTTCAAGAACATTACAAATCTCACAGCCCCAAATTTTGGAACAGTAGTATAGATGAATAAATATGAAAACACAGTTTCTGTCCTGTACACCGTTGTATTGTACCTTTTCCCCACATAATATAATCTTAGTCTGCCTGAGCCCTGTTTCGTCACACTATATATATATATATATATATATATAATGAATTTTGCTGTTTGATGGATAGTGTTTGTGTATGGCCTTGTACATGTTCAGAAGTTCAAAGTATTATATCGTTATGTATAGCACCATTGCAAGTGGTCACAGAGTGGATGAAGAAAGTGAAGAGATGAGAGCACTGAGCACTGAAGTTTGCCAGGACACTGAAGCTGCTTTGGTAGTTCATTCACTACTATTATTTATTTGATTAAATTGTGATGAATCAACAGTTGTACCTGAAATATGAGTCTGTTACATTTAAAATGGCCAGTATTTGTCCTTTCTGAATAGGATGACGGCAACAAGCAAGATAAAGCTCTGGTCTTTTTACACAAGCAGCCAGGAGCTTCCGCTGAAAAGAACCCTGGTATGAATCTCAAATTGAAGAAAGAGAAATAAACCGGAATCATTTTTCAGCAGTGTTTTATATGCATGTTATGGTAGGTGTCATCAAAGATCCGAATAGCAGCGAGGCTTGGTTTGATGCAGAAGAGGAACTTGGGTCTCCAAATCAAGATGGAAAAATGGAGGAACTGAATGAAAGGAAAGAAAGTATGGACTACAAAATAAAAACTGCTGTTATATAAGTGTAAAAGTATGCTAGTGAAGCTGAAATACTGTTTGTGAAAGCACCTGTTGCTGTTGGCTGATAGATTTAGTTGACTGTCTAATGTTTGCTACTCTTTCACAGTGACTGATGAAGATGAATCAAACCACAGTTCCCTCTTGTGCATTACAAGCTTGCCTGGCAATATCACTGAGGTTGAATCCGTACAAATGTGATGTTTTCAGTTAAGTTAATTATGGCCTCTAGGAGGCAGCAGCCACCACTAAATGTTCTATTTTCTGTAGCATGAAGTGCTGCTCTGGTTTGAGAAGTACAATGCCACCAATGTCTGCATCTCCACTTTCAGCAACAATATGAGGTAAGCGTTTCCCGTGTATGCCCAAACACTGAGTTTAACCACTGGTTCAATTTAAGGTATAAAATATTTATCAACACTATCACTTCAGAATTTTGGAGTTTGTTTTCAAATAAAATGGTATTTACTGCATTACACTTTTCCTAGACACACTAATATCAATCTCAGTAAATAGCAAACCTTTAAAGTTAAAGCTGCAGTCCGTAACTTTTGGCGCTCTAGCGGTTAATAAACAGAACTGCGTGCGTCTTGCGGAAGAACATTGTAGCCGGAGTTACTTCTCTGTTTATGTCTATGACGAATCAAGCAGGTACTGGTTTACTCCGCAGCGTTATCTACCCGAACCAATCTAAAATAGTCCGAATATAAACACTTATAGATGTACCGTAGTGATTCAGGACAAGCCAAAAACACGGTTTGGAAAATGGATTCATGGTGTACTCTCTTATTATATAAATTTTGAACACAAAGTTACGGACTCCAGCTTTAAGTATTAGAGCGTAAATAACCATGGATTAAAATAGTTTCATAAACAGGAAAACCTTGCTGAACTTGATTATGACTTGATTGAGTATGATTACTCATTACTGCCTAATCTCATTGTACCAGTACAGCAACAGTCAAGAGCCTACAGCTCCGCACCCAAATGTGATGGTACAAACTGGCAGTAGTAGCATGTTTAAAGATAGTGTTTGTTTTTTATATTAATCTTTAGAGATTTTGTAGTAATGCTGAATGCAGTAGTTCTGGGCGTTAAAGCATTATTAGAGATTATCATTAATGAAATGCACTCTTGTCTGTGCTTATGTAGGGCAGCTATTGTTTATCTCAAGAGCCCCAGCGATGCCAAGGCAGCAGTTAAAGATCTACACGGGTGCTCCCTCCAAGGCCACACTGTCCAGGTGGTGCAACTCCGTAGGCCTGCCTCAGCTGATCCTAAACTGATCAGTGATCCGCCCCACAGCACCTCAAAAACCCATAAAGAAGCTGCTGCTGCTGGGGATGGACTGGGAACGAAGGGTGTAACCTACACTTCATCACCTGGAGTAAGTATGACGTGAAAGGCTTTTTAGAAAGCTTGCTGTGTCCAAAACTACTTAATTTTCTATCACTAGTACTTTGAAATACAATCGTGTGTGTGTGTGTGTATATATTATTATGAGCTAACATAATTATAATAGCTAATTAGCTAATGTATTATTCTTGTTTTAAATTGTATGTATATATATTCTTTTATAAATTTGTTTAAATTATTGCTAATATCAGACCATTTTTGCTTTTTTGTTCCAAACCCTTAAGATGTTATGTTTTTGACTCAGGGGCCGCGCTGTAGTGTGGACAGGTTAACCAATGTCTGCGACTCGCCTACAGCCTCTGGCACCTGTGTGCCACAGCACTACGCCACCATGGGAAGCTTTGACACAATCATGGCCCGGCTATCAGAGTGCCACCCAAATGTAGGCCGCCAGAGGATCGTAGATGCCCTGCTGGAACTGCGGGCCAAGCATCAGGGCTTCCTCAGTGGGCTTCCTTTAAAATCTATAGTGGATATGACCTCTGAGCTTCTAACACAGGCCTCAACTCCGACATATATTTGAGTTAGTGCTGTTATAAGCAGCGATAAAGGCCTTGTAAATAGTTCCCTGACTAGTATGACTGGATTTCAGTTGTCAGTTCAGTTTTTTTCAGCTAACTAATGTTATCTACAGCCATTTCGTTGTAATTCATTAATCAGAGTATTTCTTTCTCCTGGAAATGGAGTTATTTGTTCATTCATTTCAGGTTTTCATCTCTGCTGTTATCAGTTATGCTGTGCATATAGAAGTTTCCTTGTGTTTCCTGAATAAAAATGTTTTCCTGTGTTTCCTATAATGATTTGATTTGATGAGTGCAAGCCCAGGCACAGTGTAGAGCTGCACATTTCACATGTGTAAATTTCAGAGCATTTCCAAGTCATGTGACCAGGTTGTCGTTTTTTTGCAGTTGTAAAAATGGTCAGTGGTGGAGGGACCCTTTTTATCACTCCTGTCAGCTCAGGTAAAACTAGAACCACTTTCTATTCTTGGAGGTACCTAATGGGTTCTCCACAGTTTTTTTCTGTGGAACAGGTGGGGATGTAATTAGTGATGGTCACATGACTGCTGACTGCGCTGGATGAAATTTCCCAGCCAGATCTTAAAGGACTTAGATGTTTAATGTACTACTGACATTAAAAACATTTACAAAATGCTCTAAATCTACTTTTACGAGAAGAAACAGCATGCAACCATTTTAATTTAATTTGACAGTTTTATGTCAGAAACTGATTTATATTTTAGAGCAAAATATGATTGTTCGGTCCATAAAACACCTTTATTGGTTACTAAGGTCAACTAATTAAAGGGTTAAATGTTCTTTCAACTGCTTCGTCCTAGTCGGAGTTACTTTCTCCCCTCATATTCTGACTAGCCCCGCCCTTCGTCTGATTGCTATTTTCTTTTATTGGCAAGGACATTTGAATGACTTGTTTACTGTCCAATCAGTGCATGGTTTGAAGTCGCCCTACTAGCCAATCCCAGCGCAGGGGGGCGGGACTTGTTGGACAAACGGAAAAAACGTCCAGTCTCTTCTCCCATGGGCGGAGTCTAGAGTAACGTGAAGGACGCGGCAGGCACTCAACTATTGAACTTCCACGCTGAAAACAACCGGATGATGAGTAAAACAGTCTGTTTACAAAGTTTAAAATGTATTTGTGAATAAAGTTTTGAAACTCAGTATGGATGCAGTCAATGGTGAATTATTGCAGTGGACCTCAGACAGAGTGCGACAGTAACAATAACTTCGAATGTGGATTATTGTTCAGAGTTGCGGTATCGCCTCGGATTTCACTCATGTACACTGGACTCTAACTTCAGTCGTGTGTGCCGCTGTGATGTGGAGAGGATGGACACAAAGAAGATCTCAGCCACTCACGATATAAGAAACGGACATTTATAATAGAAACTTTTTTATACAATTGGACAAAAAAACCAAACATTTTTTGACGTTGAACGGGCTTTTGATTTTGTAAGGAATAATGTGGAAACCTTGCCCATTTACACATCACCCGGCCCTTCTACTTTACATAGTCTTGGAAATATTTATACACAGTGTCAGAGGTAAGTGTAGTGCAGTTGTTAGTGAAATCACATCTGTCATCAAAATGCTATATCTGATTTCGTTTAGATAAGTAGGTTTAATACTACATTAGTAAATGCAAATGCATGAAATAAATGTTTGAAAATATATACATGAATAAATTGTATGTTTGAACATTAATTTAGTTTTCCCTTAATTTTTACAATAATTCATTGCATCTATTTACTTAGTGTTTCATTTATGTATTTATTTCACCACCATGATAATGAGGGGAGGTCAGTTTGCCTCAGTTACTTTTCTAAGCATCTCTGTGACTTTGTATCGTTTCTCATGTTTCTGTCTTCTTAACATGAAATACTTGTGTGGCAGAAATCCTTGGTTGAAAGTGTCTTTAGATAAATAAAAGGGTGTTAAATGCATATATTCATAATACCTATTTGACTTGCAATGGATTTTTTTTAGGTCTTAATGTTTGCATGAGCGGCAGCGCCACATCTTGTGAAGAATGTCTCCTCATTCACCCAAGCTGCGCCTGGTGCGCGCAAGAGGTACTGCCAGACACTGTGATTACCGTGATTGACAGAAGATGTCGCAAAACCTACTGAGCTGCCTACCTAGACAGTACTTTTAGCCATCATAGACTAGTCAAATATTGTCTAGTTAGGCAGACAGGCCACTGATTTATTTATAAATGTGAATATACTTCAATAATCCAGGGCTTCTGGCTGTTTACAGGTTGCTAAGAGCATTACTGCTGTATTTCACTGCATTTGTGGGTTTGCTCATTTATTTAATGCTTTCCTCACATCACTTACCACAGCAATCCTTTTTCCTGATTCAGGACTTTGGACAAGCTAGAACTCTCAACTCACGATGTGACTTTAGCCAGAACTTACAGAAAAGAGGATGTGATGCCCCTTTCATTGAAAATCCCAGGAGTGGCAGCTCTCTGTTGCGGAGCAAACCTCTGAGCTCCAAAGGTTCTGGGGTGACCCAGTATGATGTCATCCAGATATACCCACAAAAGATCTCTCTCAGCTTAAGGCCTGGTATGCATCTTCTGATTGGTTTAGAGAAGGACACATTTTAATAAAAACATTTGTAGATACCTTGAAATAGCATGTCAGTTTAATGACTCGTACATCCTTCAGGTGACCAGACCTCATTTGAAGTACAAGTGCGTCCTGTAGAAGACTACCCCGTTGATTTGTACTACCTGATGGACCTCTCGCTCTCCATGAAGGATGATCTGGACACAATCCGCAACCTAGGCACCAAACTGGCTGAGGAAATGAGGAAGCTTACAAGTAACTTCCGCCTTGGCTTTGGCTCTTTTGTGGATAAGAACATCTCACCCTTCTCCTACACAGCCCCCAAGTACCAGGACAATCCGTGCAATGGGTAAGAAAGAGACTTCTCGCAGATGTGTGGTGAGCTGTAAACAGGTTTGGGATTGGCTTTCCTTATGTCTAAATTCAAATGCAAAAAGGCTCTTGTGCCTTTTGCCCTTTAATGCCCTTTGTTATGCAATGGAGAGAACAGCTACTCGTTAGTGAGAACTGTTTGGACACAGTACCTTCTCATCTGGGGAAGTGAATGTGTCTTGATTTCTTTCCCTTGTGATACTAAAAATAGTCCTGCTTTGGCATTGACTTGTCTTATGGGGAAAGTGCATCATTGGAAATTCAAAAAGCACTCGGCATGCCACAGTTCTGGACTTGTTAACCACAGCCTTATGTCACACTTTAAAGTAAACACTTAATTTAGTTAAGAGAAACATTTAAGATATTTTGTCCTGCTTTCACTGGTGGTTATCGTTCTGGTCCAATGCAAAATAGTGGTAGACTTATTGGAAAGTGTGACAGAGTAGATTGAGGTTGCAAAGCCAGTACAGCACATGGCCTAGGGAAGCCCACATCCCATCATGCATCAGTGACCATGTAGGTTATGCTTTCAGTCCTCTTGAATGCTCACTGTATCACAACAGATTTCATACAGATAAATGACAAGGTATATACCATATTCTACAACAAGTACATGTACTCTACCCTTTCAAAAATAATATTTTACAATTATAAATTGTTTAATATTATCTGACTATATTTCATGAAGTAATTGAACTAATTAAAAACGATATTTTATACAGAACTTGTACTATACCATTTGCATATAAAATGCTGTGTTTTCTTTTTCTTTTTGCACATGCTAATATAATGCTTATTTAAATCAATTAAATTAAAATTTTGTTTAAAAAACTTTAATTAAAATTGTAAGTTTTTTTGGTGCTGGTATTTAAATTAAATAGTTTTTAATGTGTATAATTAAAAAATAAAACTATAAATATTTGTTTGGTTTTAAAAGGATAATATCATGTATATTTAAATGTAAAAATAGATGTTTATAATAATATAATATCGAAAACATTATCATTAATTTAATGTATGATTTCAGTATTGCTTTTTAAGCTTGTGATTTCTCTCATTTTTCTCTTGTTCCAGATATAAGTTGTTTCCAAACTGCGTCCCTACGTTTGGCTTCCGTCACCTCTTATCTCTTACGGACAAGGTTGACCGTTTCAATGAAGAAGTGCAGAAGCAGATGGTTTCGCGGAACAGAGACGCACCAGAGGGGGGGTTTGATGCCATTCTGCAGGCTGCCGTTTGCAAGGTAAGCAGTCAGTAAAGACAGGTCATTTTGCTGCTTCATCACTAAGCTTCTTTGACTCCTTCAACTCTCTATAGAGACAGAAAGTCTGTCCAGCAATTGAGAAAATGTCTTGTTTTTGTGCTGTGCTATCTGAGCTTTATCAGAACAGATACAGGTGTCTGAGTCCTAAAAGAGACACACTAATATAGCATGACATCATAGGCTGTACAAATATTTGCTTTGGCATGAAAGGCACAAACACAGCATGCATGAGAGAAAGAGACTGTGTGGTTTACACTGAATTAGAGAGGAGAGCCTTGCCCATTTATTCACTGTACAGTACGTGTTAATCAGTGCTCGTTCTTGTTAGTCAGACTAGTGAGACTAGTGTGTGTTGAATTTGCCATGTGTTTCTCATTTTTTCAGAATTGCTTGAACATCCTGTTTTTAAATATTCAGCCATCTAAAATGTTAGTCAGCATGATGTCTGATATTTGAGTAGGTAGTGGACTTTTTGTATCTAGATTTTAGGTAAAATATATATGCATCTATGAATGAAACTGTACCGGTCACCAATTTTAAACACCATTTTGCCTGCATTTGTTTTTGAAAGTATATATAAAATGGTTCTGTGTTGTGACACAAATGTAATATAAGTATATATTCCGTTTAGTCTCTTAATTAATATTTGGCTATAAAATTAGTGGACTTTTTGTATCTAGATTTTAGGTAAAATATATATGCATCTATGAATGAAACTGTACTGGTCACCAATTTTAAACACCATTTTGCCTGCATTTGTTTTTGAAAGTATATTTTAAATGGTTCTGTGTTGTGACACAAATGTAATATAAAAAAAGTATATATTCCGTTTAGTCTCTTAATTAATATTTGGCTATAAAAGGTGCATGCATAAAAAAAAAAAAAGAATGACCAAAATGCTTTACAGTTCTATTTCATGTAGGCTACTAATTTATACTGCTACTTTAACTTTATATTTTTAAACAAATCTATTTCTTAAAAGTGATCATAAATTTGTTTTATTTGGAAAAACTCTAATCGTCTCCATATGTGAATGCATATCCATATGAGACAACTCTGTAATATAATTTAACTGATCCATCAACTATACAGAAACACTGTGTACATGTACAACAATTTAATATGAACATGATATAGAGATATGGTAACACTTTAGTGCAGGGACCAATTCTCACTATTAACTAGTTGCTTATTAGCATGTCTGTTGTTAACCTATTGGCTGTTTATTAGTACTTATAAAGCACATATTCTGCATGACCATATTCTACATCCCTAATCCTACCAAATACCTAAACTTAACAACTCCTCCTTACTATTAATAAGCAGCAAATTAGGAGTTTATTGAGGCCGAAAGTCATAGTTAATTGCTTGTTAATGGAAAAAATTGGACCTTAAAATAAAGTGTGACCAGAAATATGAAAAGATATAGGCTGGCATAAATGAAAGTTTAATCTCATTGTGGCAGGAGAAGATTGGCTGGAGGAAGGAGGCCTATCATCTCTTGGTGTTTGCCACCGATGACGTCCCTCACTTGGCTTTGGACGGCAAGCTCGGTGGACTAGTGCATCCTCACGATGGACAGTGTCACCTGAACGACAAGAACGAGTATAGTGCTGCAAACATGATGGTAAAGCTTTTATACTGCAAAGCATCATTTGAACCAAACAAATGTTCATCCAGTTTATGTGGAGACACATTTGGGTAAATGAACTGACTGTCTGTATGAGATTAGATTGTTTTATTGTAAACACACTTAATGCCTAATTGCCAACTGCCATCATCCATAATTGCTTGAGATTAACCGTATTGAGTATTTCTGTATTTAACCGTATTTCTGAACCGTATTGAGAAACCTTCAAATGTGTTTAGGTTTTAATGGGAAGGCTTTGTGCACTTGTTTCCTTCTCTTTTGACCAGTTGATGTCTCTTGTATATTCATAACTCAAATGCATTTTCCCCTCATCTATGTCAAAATGCAAGAACAGATGCTGCGCTTGTCTCTGTGCAGTTTGGGTTTCATCCAAAGCAGCTGAGTGTTTTGTGAGAGAGAGAGCAAACTAGGATTTAATATTTCTGCATCCATCTTGTTCTGTAGAAAACGTTACTCAAATGTGCTTAACACATCACTGATCATTCATTAAAGAGATTGAGCACAAACTCCCTGGATTCTCAGGCAGGTCAGTAGCAGAGGACGCCTGTAGCTGAATACAGAGGAAATGGGTGGGAAGGATAACGGAAACCATGGAGGGGAATCAGAAGAGCGATGACTTCCTTTTGCAAACGTCCTAACAGAAAGAGTGCTGCAGGAAGTGAGGGATTGAATAAATGCATCTTACTGATATATGGACATCTCTCCACAGGACTACCCTTCACTCGCTCTACTTGGAGAGAAACTGGCTGAAAACAATATTTTCCTCATCTTTGCTGTGACCAAAAGACACTATGTTCTTTACAAGGTATCTTTCATTCATCATAAGCTATCTTGATCGACGTTGAGCTATTTTTGTTTTGTGTTTAATGTTTTCTAAATGTCTTTTTACCCGTAGAATCTCACAGCATTGATCCCTGGGACTACGGTGGAAATTTTGGACCAAGACTCCAAAAACATTATTCAGCTAATTGTGAATGCATACAATGTAAGTTGTTCTTATTACCATCTTGTACTGTGGGTGGATTTTTACAGTGCACATAAAAGAAAATGGGCTCTTGTTGACCCCAAGGCTGATCCCTTCATGCTTTTGTTCCCTGTAAAGTGTGTAGTATGTGTATCTTATGGTTCAAGGTTGAAGCTGTGATATATAGTGACAGCCCATTATGAACGCACTGTTTTTAGGGAATGTGGTAAACACACTTCAGGGTCAGGCAGTCACCGCACAGTACTATATAAAGTGTACAAATTGACTCCAGTTTAACTGGCAACCAAACTGATTACCCTGATTATTTTCAGCTAATAAATGGTTAGGAATTGAATTAGGAACAGATGATGTTGTGGAGTGTGATTTTAGGAAAGCTTTGCTCTTTTGCTGTCTTCACTGCGTGATCACATGATTACATAAGATAAGGAATTTCCTGTTTTTGTTAGTGAAGAACTTTTGATGTCTTGGTTGGTTTGCCTTGGTTCAGCAATATTTGTAGTCTGGTATTTTTGTATAATGATCTGATAATCTGTTTTTTTTTGTTTGTTTTTTTTTGTTTTTTGCGGAGGACACTTTTGCACAAGCGTTTTTATATCAACTTAATTTAACATAAAAAGTAAGTTCATATGAGTAACACAAACTTCCAAAAAGTTTGGTGTATATTATTATTTAGTTTATTTTATTTTTTGAAAGAATTTAATACTTTTATTCAGCAAGGACACATTAAAATGATCAAAAATGAAAATAAAGACATTTATAATGTTGCCAAATATTTCTATTTCAGATAAATACTGTTCTTATGAACTTATATCAGTAGTAGCCTTACTAACCCTAAACTTTTGTACAGTAGAGTAGATCCACTGGATATCTGCCTTGAGGTCTTGCAAAAACAATGAAGCACCATGGGAAACCGCGTCATCAGACAGCTTTGTAAAAAAAATGAATGATGTTACGATATGAAGAGAAATTCAATAATCAGTTTATAACTGGTCACAAACACTGACCAAATATCAAGCCAGGTTTTTTTTGTTGACCCAGTTACCTATCTCTCCCGACTTTCAGTTTACACCAAAATATGCCAAAGTACCAAAGGCTATGATTATTGTCACGGATATGATCTATTTTGGTGTTGTTTTGAGTTGGTAGTATGCTGGCCAAGAATATGATTGAATGTTTGTGGTTTTATTTTTTGGTGCTAAAGCATTATAGAAACCAAGTATGTGATTTTCTCCATTATCATTGAAATTGTAACTAGTGCATGTTAGATGCTTTTGTGTTTTGCGAATGATTTTGTAATTGTTTTTCTGTTAATGTAGAACATCAGGTCAAAGGTTGAGTTGAGCGTATGGGACCATCCTGAAGATCTCAGTCTGGCCTTCACCGCCACCTGCCAAGACGGCCAGCCCCTGACTGGCCTCCGCAAGTGTGCTGACGTCAAAATCGGTGACACTGTTAGTGCTTTATACTTTATCAAATATTGCCTGTGCCTATTACACCAACTTATTGGTAGTACGTTATTTACTCAACGATAACATGTAAGGTTTGAATGATATGCCATGGTCTGCACACATGGACTTACACTCTGTTTGCTTTATAATGCTTTGGCTTTACAGTGTTCACATGGTGTGGATTGTAGTTGTTGGATCTCCCATACATTCTTGGTTAGACTGACATTGTAAAACTTCTATAGGACTACTTGGTACATGTCACCATGCAGTGATCTGACCCTTGGATTCAAGCAGAGTTCTCCACTCTTGCCTGTACCATTCCCATTCTGCATAATTGAATGTAGAGAAGGATCGTGAGGGAAAGCGGAGGGGTAGAGCTGAATACCCTCTCTGAATGGAGCAACCCAATTTTTTCTGGCCGCTCCAATAGACCCAGGGCCTTTTTGTCTCATCCACGAGGGAAATTTGTTACACCGTGCCCAAGTGCCAATCATGCCTTTAGAAAGGGGAGCAAAACCCAAACAGAATCCCATGTGTCACTTACGGTCCTCCGCCGAACCCTCTGAGGAGTCTGTTGCTGCATTTCAATGGGCTCGCACAATGGCGCAAGGCTCTTTCTGGGTGAAAAACACAGGCTTTAGATACAGAGGCGGTAGCCCAGATTCTAAAGTTAAGCTTAGATTCCTTTCACAGAAGTAGATTCAAGCCCCTAGAGACTACTAAAATGTCCCATACATAACACATTCGTCTAATCTTATATTAAGCTGGCTGGTGTCCCAGGAAACATCAGTTTACTTTTGGATAGACTTTGTTTGCCATGGATTTATAAAGCTCTGCTAGCTGTTGTGCAAATGCAAGAACACTATGAAATGGGAGGTGTACAGTCAGGAGCACAAATACAGATTTACTGATATAGCAATATATTTTAGATACAGCAATAAGTGTTCAAATAGTATTAGTTGTTAGTAGTAATAGTCATATTTTTTTATACATTTTATGTAATTCTTACCTATTACTATATATATTTAAAAATAAAAATAGGAATTATTATTACCATCCAACCAGGTATCACAAAAATGAACCCCAACTGGGTGTTTAGGATGCCAATGTGTTATTTTTAGTATTATCCAGTATTATTTTAGTATAATTTATATACTGTTATATTTTTTATCATTAACTTTTATTTTTATATTTTGATTTTAATTTGAGTAATTCTGTTATGTGCTTTTATCATTTTTATTATTTTTTAATATCGCTATTTAGGTTTAATTTTTATTTTGGTTTAAGTTTTATTCATTTCTAGTTTTTATCCATTTCCAGTTCAATGTAAACTAATTTCGGTTAGTTGCCAATGCAACAGTTTTTCATCTAATATTTATTATTTCAGCTTTATTTCAGTTTTGAAAAATCCCTCAACTGCTATTGCAAAATGCTCCAGTTTTATGTCTATGCAGTGTGAATATTTGACATGAATTTTTTTTTTTCTACTGGCAGCCTGTCTTCATGTTATTTTCTGCTTACTGCATGCTAAGACGGAGACAAAAAATGAAAACAGGCTCCTCCAATTCTGATTAATGCTTTAGTTTGCTGCTGCTGTGAAGGCTTTAGGTCTCTTACAAACAACTTATGCAAAGACACAGATCAATCTAGTAATTTCTGGTCTGATCATTACTAAATGTAAAACATTAGCAGTGTTTTTCCTACTTTTGATCTGGTTTGTTTTTATTAAAATGCCATGTACAGTTTTGACCAGTGATTGCTCATCTTTATATAATGTCCACACCTCTTCCTCTGCCCAACCATACAGACTTTAATGGAGTTTTCCAATGCTTTCTGTCTTCATCTAACCATTGCCATGTACTCGTGGCTCACATGTCTCCTTAATCCAATTCTGCAGCTCATTGCCTCATTGAGGAAATACTTCTTGCTGCGCTTTTGTCTGTCTGTGACCCCTTACTTTCCCGCTTTTTTTGTATTGTTTTTCAGCATGATCTTTAAGGAGCAGCATGTTAATGCTGGATAATATGTAGTGAAAGTTGTGTTTGATGTAATTTTACTGTTTTGTTTTTACTTTTTTGTTTATCACAAATCCTAAAAAAACAAATAACATGGGTTCCACAAAAATATTTAGCAGCACAAATGTTTTCAACATTGATAGTAATGAGAGATGTTTCTTGGGCATCAAATTGGCATATTGGAATGAACATAATTGAAACCAACAAACAAATAAAACTCTATTCATACGTGAATTGAGATTGTTGGACAGGTCCAAAATGTTACCAGTTATTCATGATTTCATGCACAGTTGGGATGCCAGTACAAGAACCTTTTCCACATGAGCAAAAAGTACTCTTGTACAGAAATAGACATTTTGAATATTTGATGAATTGTCTTACTTGCCTCCCTTTTGTGTCAAGTCTCTTCTCCATCATTTCTATTTTTACACCGAGTATGTGTTTTCTTTAGGCTGTTACTTCGCTGTAGAGAGACCAGTGCTGTCAAAGTAACAGCATCCCCTTTTCCATTCAAATAACTTATCTGACAGCCTTAGCCTTTCATTGTGATTAAGAAGACATGTGAGCCTCTAGTCTACCTCCATCAGTATGACCCTCTGTGGCCCAGTGTTTGGCTCTGAGCTTTAAACTCTTGGGTCTGGAGGGCTCAGTGATGTGAAACACTACTTCAAAGTGTTCAGACACAGCATGTTGGGCTTGTCCGCTCCCCTGGGCAGTTCTGAATCAAAGGCCAGCCAGGCTACATGTTTTTGAAAGTGTCAGGTTTTCTGCCCCTGAGGATCCGCACATCAAGTTTGATAAAGTGATAAAGCCTCTTTAGCACTGCATGTTGCATAAATCCAGTGCAGTTGTAAGACACTTAAACCACATCCCAAGTTTATCTCACCATCTTACCATAAATTATTTGATGCTGATCAAGTCTAGGCTAGTAAGGATGAAGCCTCTAATGTTTAGACTTCCTTCCTCTGGGTGGTCATCATCAGGGTGGAGTCTCTCTTTCCTCTGGTCTGAAGGTCTGTGATTAATCTGACAAGTATGATCTACATCGGTTAGTGAAGCCTCTGTTTGCCTCTGAGTTTGCATTCTTGAAACTTTGGTTTAGTTGTCCCAAAATAATGTTTTGGTTAAAAGGTTTGTGGTTAACACAAGCTCAAGATATTTTCATGTTTTATTATTCAACATTAAATACATCAGTAATACCCCACGTGTGATTTATTTATTTTTTATAAGGCTTTTATGTGTCTTAAAAAGGCAGTTGCCAACAAGTGGCTAAATGGGACTACAGAGTCTTTTGGGGATATTAAACATTACGCCAAGCACAGAAACTCATCTACTAACATCTACTATTTAGTCTGCTTTTACAGACTAGTTGTGTTTATATCCATGTTTTTGCAAACTTATTTAAAAATTAACTTAAGTTGGTCACAGAATTTTCCAGCAATAATCCAAAAGCCAATGGAAAATCCTATTGGCTTTTTGTCAAGGGAACCAAGGTCTTGCAAACTTCAAAAATATGTCATCCCTGTAGCACTCAGTAGCTATTTCCCAAATTAGGGTCTGTATCCGTCGGGTCAAACTAAGCATTGTTAAAGGGTTTGGAACGACATGAGGGTAATTAATGACAGAATTTTCATTTTTGGGTGAATATCCCTTTAAGTGGATCTATAAGTTTGCAGCTTGTTAAGATATTAGTCGACTTTAGTCAAGTATTAGTCACTTTTTGAATGTGTTTTTTCCATTCCTTGTATCCTTCATGGCCTAGGAAGCAAAGCACACATTTCAAGGCCACATTTGAAGGAGTCTTTGAAATGGGACCGCCTTCTAAGTGCCACTGCGACGCATTCTGCCTTGAAATGCAGCCTTTGATTTGGGATATTTGTGTATTTAGTCTTAAATACAAGAAAGTAAGTTGTCTGTCCTTTCTTGCAGGTCTCCTTCAACATAACTGTAGACGCTCGAGGATGTCCTCCGAAAGGCACCAGGAAGAGTTTCACCATCAGGCCTGTTGGTTTTAAAGACCGTCTGGAGGTCTCTGTGGACTACCGCTGTGATTGCAGCTGCACATATTACACCAAGACCAACAGCAGCCGCTGCAACTCCGCCGGCACCTACAGCTGCGGGATATGCCGCTGTGAGCCCGGCTACCTGGGGGCCCGCTGCGAGTGCGAGGAGGGTGAGGTCGACCACCAGCACCTCAGTGCCTGCCGTGAGGCCGAGGGCAAGCAGGTGTGCAGCGGCCGTGGAGAATGCAGCTGTAACCAGTGTCTGTGTTACGAGTCAGAGTTCGGCAAAATCTACGGCACCTTCTGCGAGTGTGACGACTTCTCCTGTGCCCGACATAAGGGTATACTGTGCTCAGGTGAGGTGAAAGGATTTATGTGCTGACAATGCACAGTGCATTTCAGTTCCACAATGCGTTTTTACCTGTGAATTCAATAGTTTTGTACAAAATGTGGAAGTTTATGGGCCATGTCCTAGCTTTTCAGCATTGTCTCAAACCATTCGGCTTATTTGGCTTGCCATGGGCCTCTTTAGGATGCTACGTTTGTGCCCGATGCATTTGATCAGTTCTTGCCAAAGAGCAGTTGGCTGGCACCCCATCTCTCCCTCTCCACATAGGACGCATCTCTGCCATGCCACAGTGAGAGCTTTGTAGAAGGCTGCATTTGTTTATCCATGCACACAATAGCTGGTCTATGAGTAATAAAGCTCTGTTTTTCTTTAGTCAGCAGAAACTGTCAGCCCAGCACAAAATGGACATTTGTTGAGCCTCTGTAGCAATAATGTCATCGGTAGAATCGAGAATATGTCCCGTTCCTGCTATCTCAGCCATGGAAAACTCTTCTTGTCTGCAGTAACGAGTCCTTAATGAATCTGGGTGATTATACTTTTTCGCCCCACTTTGCCATGGTGAATTAACTGGGACAATTCTTGTAAACTCGCTAATAATGGCTGTGGGAAAAGGCAAACGTTGATGAGAGAGTTTCGTAGGTTTCGTTCACTTGTTAAATGCCTCATAAACATGCTTTGGGGCATTTTGATTTGGCCATGCTCTGGTGAGAGCAGCTTGTTTAGTAGTTAGTGAGTTGCAAGGTGTTTAGGATAGAAGTGCTCATGAAGTCCTATAGATATTGTTTATCAGAAGAGTGCTTAAGTTTCTCAGACTGGCAGGACACTTGAGATGAACCTACTCCAAGGCATGGTTTAATAAATAGGGGGTACATTTGGGAACTGTAGGGGATTTGTGAGTTGGTGAAAAGCTAATAATTAGATCATAATGTAAAACTAACCCTTATGATCTATAAAATGGAGCAAATAACAGCATTTGTAAATCATAATATGAAACAATTTGCTTTGCACTGGGAAAAATGGATCAAATATGCAACATCTCATAGACCTGATTTTATTTTTTAATCAAAATTCCGATGTAAAGAAAGATCACTCCCTATATGTACATAGTTTTCTTTCTTGCTTAAGAAAGAAATTGCTTTTCTTATTTTATTTTCTATTTTTATGTATTTATTTCTCCCCCCTTTTTTTTCTCCTCAATATGTACACAACATATGCAAAGGGCTGCATGTATATATGGGCACATTTAGATATGTACATATATGTGAATGTGAGTGTAGACATAGGTGTGCTTATGTATGAGTGTATTCATAGGTATAATGTGTAATGTGCATCTGATGGAAGTGTAAGGTTGTTTGAAAAAAAGTAAAAAAAATAAATTTTAAACTAACCCTTATGAAAATTAACCATGATTTTATTATAGTAAAAGTGTAGTAACCATGTTTTTTTGGTTTATTGATTACCTTTTGTATAACCACAGTTTTACTACTAATTCTGTGGTTAAACTGTGGTTAGTGTAGCAAAACTATGGTTAATTTGTGGTTACCATGGTTTAACTAGTAACAATGTTTTTTTGTTTGTTTGTTTTATTTGTAGTAAAACCATGGTTAATTTTCATAAAAGAATCCACCAAAGAGCAAAAAAAAACTCAATTCTTGAAATTTGTTTGCTGTGTATCCAAATAAAAGGATTACATGCCGAGATATTAGCAATCTTCTTTATTCTTATAAAGTGCTCAGTGCCTATTAAAATCAACAGACATTTCAGTCATGCAGGACCTTCCTCAGTGTTCACATACTTGGTGGATTCTTTTATTGACTTGAAATTGTGTTACATGTGAATGGAACCAAGCGCAAGATCCTCCTTTTTTCATAATTTTCATAAAAGAAAATAGGACTGCACAATTTATTCAAATAAAGGGCTGCAGTTTAGTCTTATCTGCGGCACTATATTTTTAACATTCAAGAAGAATAATCAATGTTTAGGGTCTCTGCATGTCTTGCATTTTATTTACTTTCATCTTAATCTTTACATGAGTGTTGGAACCTTTCTGTGTTTGTGGAGAAATAGTCTTGTTTGCTGTGCAGCGTTGATAGTTGTGATAAAGTGAGCTGAATAAACATGACCCAGTTGAAGGGTCAGGAGGAAGCTGTGTTGAATAAGTTAAACTGTCCTGTGGGGGCGGAGCTTCCTCCTCTGCCACTTTATTACTGGGTCACTGGGCTTGGTGAGCTTGTCATGACTCTTGAAGGCTGACTGGCTGATGGCTTCTCAGTACTATACAATAGGGCAAGAATAAGCAGTTTGAAGATGGTGTTGCATAACTCTTTGTAGCCACATTCCATATATAGATGTATATAATAGTGGTTCTTTTTCAAGGTGACTTTAAAGAAGCTTTTTAAATGTAAACATGACTTTAAAATGACCATAAATACTCTTATTATTATTCTTTTAAGCATAGTCCCTTGTTGATACACCTGGAGTGAACAAAGCTTTGTTTTTCTTGAAACTCTCTGTTTAATGGAAGTGCCATAGAAATGGTTTTCTCAGCTGTACCCTTATTTTTGTATCACACTCCACACCCTGCTATTACTTAAAACAGCATTTTCAATAACAGTAGCAAAATAAAACCAAAATAAGATTCAGAGGTCACCCTGGACCATTGGATCAAAGTGTCTTGAATAGGATCAAAGTCCAATTCTGGAATGTAGTAGCAACTTTCTGTATATAGAGACATTTAAAGGATCATGCAGAGTCAGCCGGTGATCCTGCACAGGGTGATCAGCTTGCTACAGCTTCTTCTGGTCAGTTTTACAGTTTCACAGTCATCAGACTAAAATATTTGACAGCAGAATGGTGTGATCGACCAATCAGAATTAAGTTGTCCAGAAAGCTGTGCATTAAATTTTTATTAGAAATTTTATAACAGTTTTTAGTTTTACATAAGTTATATGTGCTTCTCTCTAAATCTGTCATTTAAGTGTTTGTATTTTGTGGGTTGGATGTGATCAGTGTGGCCTTGTCGTGCTGATAGCAGTCTGAAGGGCTCCTACAGAAGGGCCGCACTGCACAGATAAGACTTCCGTGTGTCCTTTATTGTGTTTGAGCAGTTAGTCTGCGCTCAGCTATCATGAAATATTTTTAATCTGCTGGACTTTTATGATTGAAAGTGCACAATGGGTTTTATTTTGTACTATTTTTTTTTTTTTTTTTTTACTTTTAATTTCACATGCCTCATCAGTCAAAGGTTTACCTCATTAAAACCTATTAATGGACATATGTTTCGAATCTCTGCACAATAGCTTTCTGAGTCTTTCGAAGTGTGAGAAGTGACAGTATGTTAAAGCTATTGAGCTGTTTTTGATGGAGCCTAGTAAATATCAGCTTTGTAGTGTTGTATGCATCTGCTGTTGATTTAAATTGCTTAATAAGTCAGAAATAGTGACTAAATGCCCCAGACTTATAAATGTCCTCTATTTTTTGTTGTTTAAATCTTCAACCTTGTTGCTGAGGTTTGTGTAGACCTAGTCAATTAAACATGTTTGTGTTTGTTGTAAAGCTTTGTGGCTCTAGAAAATTACAAGTAATGGGAATGGAGTGTGGAACCAAATTTTCCAAATTTGTTTAATCTGGGTCATGATTTCACATGATTTATCCAACTGATTGTAGTGGTAACACAATTATAGTGTGACCATTTTTACACTACCATTTCAAAAGTTACCACATTTTTTTAATTATTTTTTGTTAATATATTTTTTTCAGTAATGATGCATTGATTTGGTCAAAAGTGGCAGCAAAGACAAAATATTTACATTTCAAATAAATGCTTTTTTATTAACTTTATTTTCTTTAAAGAACCCTGAAAAAGTATCATTATTTCCACAAAAATGTATCTTGAACAGCAAATTAGCATATTACAATGGCTTCTGAAGGATCATGTGACACTGAAGACTGGAGTAATGACTGCTGCGATTCAGCTTTGCCATCACAGAAATACATTTCAATTTTAAGTTGTCATAACATTTCACAAGATTAGTGTTATTTTGTGTATTTTTTGGTTATTAGTGTATTTTTGATCAAATAAATGCAACTTTGGTGAGCATTAGACACTTTTTAAAAAATCTTACTGACCCCAAACCTTTGAACGGTAGGGTGTATAAAAAATAAAAAAAAATCAAATGTTGTGCACTTGACCCCGTGCAGTATACAATCATACAAGGGTTTTTAAACTGTTGTCACCAACTTGTAAAACATGTCAGGAGTGATGTTTGTTGTTGTGGGCATATATGTTGTTTTTTCTCAAAAACATTTGCAGTCTATCCAAGAAATATGTTAGACACCTGGTTGTTTTTGGAGCCGTTTTTCAGATACTTTCAGATGTTAGCTTATGTTAGCATTATGCACATGGAGCAGATGAGATGTATGTTGAATACCAAACATATGCTGTAATTGGGATGTAATGTGGTTCCATTTAACGTTTGGCGAACATTCCACCAACTCATCTCTGTAACTGTACACAGACCATTGACATATTTTTTTCCACACCCCTGCATCCTCTTTACCACAGTAAATGACATCAGCACCTGGCAACACAATGACCTCAGAAGCAAACAAACAAACAGACAAGGCCTTCACCGCTTTACCATCATCAAAAATACAGGAAAGTCTGGCGTATATTGTATGATTGGATATAAACCCTTCTTATCTGTTTTCGTTTGTGGTGTGGAGCGCTCGTCACGTTGTACTTGGTGGGATAATTTATGAGAGCAGTGTGGTCACGTGGTGAACAATAGAGCTGTCAAGAACCATAAGCAAAATGGGACTTTGGAATAGGATTCATTGCTCACTTAGTCTATTGATTTGCGGTAAGAGTGCACTTGCTGGCAGAATAGCTGTTTGAGGCGGAAAGATACATTTTCATGTCTATGGGGATCTTCAGTATGTTTCATGGGTAACATTGTTGATGAAAATGCACAAACTTTTTTGTTATTATGGTTATGACCATGTTGT